ATGTATATATATATACATACATATGAATGTAAGTGAGAAATAAACATGTATACATATGTGCAAGAAAATATGTCCATTTATATGTATATAATCGTGAAAATAAATGTATACACACATAAATATATATATACACATGTTTATATACATATATGTTTATATACATATATATATATGTATCTAAATGTGAATGTAATTGTATATGCATATATATATAGTTATCCCAGCCAAACCCCGAAGTTCACGAAGCATACATGACGTGAGCAAGTTGACAAGGACGTTAACATCCCCCACCCACCCAAACCCCGAAGTTCACGAAGCATACATGACGTGAGCAAGTTGACAGGGACGTTAACATCCCCCTCCACCCAAACCCCGAAGTTCACGAGGCATACATGATGTGAGCAAGTTGACAGGAACATTAACACCCCCCCACCACCCAAACCCCGAAGTTCATGAAGCATACATGACGTGAGCAAGTTGACTGGAACGTTAACATCCCCGCCACCCCAAACCCTTTAAAAAAGCGGTTTCGTTACCAGTTGCCTGGGGATGGCGGTGGGTCTTAAAAAAGGGCACGCCTACGCACAGATAGAGAAGAAGTCGCTAATCATGGCCGGCACACATTCATTTTTTCCGCAGAAACCATCAGCTCACTGACAGAACTTCTTCGCCTGACCATCTGGCGGAAGAGGGAATTGAGACCTGAATTGCCCGTGAATGCAGACGCCTTGTCTTCTTATGCAAGGCATTTGCACCTTGCAGCTTCCAACATGCGAGGGAGCGCATGGATGTGAGCAGGTCAGTAGCCCAAAAGCCACAATTGGAAGGATGTTTGAGTGGTGTTTATCCGCGGCAGTGGTCAAGCCATCTCTGAAGCCAATGACCCCCTGGAAAATTACCAAAGCTTCGTGCCATTTGCCACGCATTTGCCACGCATTTGCCACGCATTTGCCACGCATTTGCCACCAGCCTTGGGAGGTTGGAGAGATATGTGGGATTTGGCTGGTCAGGTCGTGGCAACTCTTCGAGCAGAGAGGTCCCACCCAGGCAGAATTACAACACCTGAAGGCATGTGTTTCCATATGCTGATGCAGATGATGCAGGGTCAGCTAGGGTGAAACCACACTACGTCACTACAGTAGTGAAAAACATGTGGAATGTTGATGAATGTTGTGGATGTACGTGCCACGTTGGAAGGCGCGAGCATTGACTGAGATGGCAGGAATGTTCTTTCACATTCTTTCACCATTTTGTCAATCCTGATGGACGGAGGTGCTTACTCCTTATGGGTATCTCTCAAAACTCCCCCCACCAAACCGGTTGCGCCGGTTGGATCATTTCGTGGATCTCGCCATTTTAGGCAGATCGTGTAACGCATGCCCAAGAAGCCCTGGGTGCAATCTCTTCCGATGAGGACATCCGTCTGATCAATTCAAACATTTTACATAAATCATCATAAATCTACGTATGTTCCTTTCTTTTATAATATTGGAGACAGATAGGACGTCTCTGGTGGTGGATCAGTGGCCCATGCAGTTTTCCACGGCTCTTCGTCAGGAAGCTGCACGTGTAGCCCGCCACACTTTGGAGGAAGTGCAGCTCCAAGACATCGAAATTGGATGGTTTGATGCATCTAAAGACAACAATCTCTTCAAATCTGCTAGAATTACCAACGTGGGCCACAGCCACCCAAGCCGGAACGGGTGCAGAATTATGAATTATAAATTAATATAATAAATTATATTATACATCCATACTGTAATTATGTTTACCAGTGTCTTGTGAATCAACAGGTAGCCGGGGCAAGTTTGAATGTCAGCCTTAGGCTGGACGTAGAGCATTGGACTCCTTCCAGCGGCGCATGCAAGAAACACGCCAACCTGTCTTGGAAGAGGCTCCATTGGGGTTGGATCTGACCACAATTGGCAGTCTGAAATGCTGCAGTAATGACCAAAATCCATCCAAAAATGTTCTTGAGTTGATGATTATTAGTGATGATTAGTGTATACTATGTGATAACTCAGACAGTTGTTCCCGTCAGAACTTCTGTCCTTGCCCCCAGCTTATCCTAAGGATTTGTGACATGGACTGACTAAATCATACTGAAGCCCGGACAAAGATTCCAGTCATCATTTGTGTGTGGTTCATCATTTGGGCGGTCCCAAAACCTGGAAGGTTCATCTTCAATTGGTATTGCAGTTCATCCCCATTTTGACCAGTGTTTTTGTCGGTTTGGCCCCTATCATATAGGTACACACACACACATATATATATATATGGGCCTGTCTTTTTTTGATGCGTGCAGTTTTTAGTAAAGGCAGGAAGTTCGATTTGCGCGAATCATACCCCCGAATCATACCCCGAATCATACCCCCGAATCATACCCCCGAAATCTGCGAATCATACCCCTAAAAAATCAGGATTATGAATGTTTTTTTTTGGGATCGTTTGGGATTGCATTGGCCTCACTAGTTATAATGGACCTGACAAGCTAATTGACCAGTGTTGGCGAATCTTCTCCACGCGCACAGAGTCTCATCATTATCCCTAAGCTGGCTGGCTCTGGGTGGCTGGCTGGCTGGCTGGCAACCAAACCAAAACTCCGTCGAAGAGGAACATAAGCCTAAGCGTAGCTGAGCTAAAGGTACATGAGAAGAACATCCAGAAGAGACGCCGGCAGGCCGGCGGATATAAATCATAGATGTGCATTGAGATCTTCACATTCTTCATACTCAGGTCCTGTCCAAGGTCGTCTGGCAGGTCGAGCCATTGCAGCCATTGACAAAGTAGCAATCGTAGTAGGTTGACGGTGGGAAAAAGAGACTCAAGCAACAAAGCTTCCTGAATTCAAAAAAAGATGGGTTTCCGAATCATACCCCGAATCATGCCCGAATCATACCCGAATCATACCTCAAACTTCCCAATTCTGAACCTTGGTACATTTGCAAGATCAGAACTTGTGTTTTGTGAGCTCTTTTCTTTGCAACCATTCGCCACGGGTCCTGCTGCTTCTGAGAAAAATCCGACAACAGCACCCTGCAGCGCGCAGCAGCACCCTTCACTAGCACCCTTGCAGCACGAGTTGGGTACAGTACGTACCCTCCTTGCAGCACCCTGAAGCATCACCCCTTGCAGCAGCACCATGAGACCCATATACTCCATGTATGATATAAATGGCATTAATTAGCAACATTCGGACGATTTTGGGAGTAAGTATAGGTACATAAAGGGCCGCGAATCATACCCACGAATCATACCCACGAATCATACCCCGAATCATACCCGCGAATCATACCCCCTAGTCAAACTTCCCGGGTTGGACACGGTATTTTGAGACGTCCCCATATATATATATACACATAATTGTACATAGATATGCACTTATATACGTCTCTCTCTCTCTATATATATATATATACACATACATACACACACACACACTATATATATATATATATCTATATATATATATATATATATGATTCTATATCTCTATCTATAATTCCAGATATACTTGTGCCTATCTCATACGCATATACATGCCATTTATATCTCATATAAACAATATAATCTCCACATTTCAAGCGTGGCGGCACCAGGAAACCCACAAGCTGAAGTCCAAGGTGAACGCCACGCTGCCCGTCGATCCGGCCCTCCGTGGCCTGGAAGACCTGGCAGCCCGGAAAGCCCAGCGGGATCCAGCGGGAGCCATGGTAAAATCATGGTAAAATCATGGTAAATCCTATGGTTAATGGTGGAAAATCCTATGCTTAATGGTGGAAAATCCCATGGTTAATGGTTAATAATCAAATGGCTGCCGAAAAAAATGATTGGGAAGGATTACACTTTATTTTGACACTTGGGTGTACATCGTCCCTGCCATTTGAATCCATTTGTACTGGAGGTTAGCAATCCGTGGGTTGACATCATCTGAATTTATCACGAACTTGCCGATTCAAACCTCCAGGAAACCACCAGGGCCAAAAATTGTTATCGGGAGTGTTTTGGCCGCTTCTGAAATTGGAGAATACCTGAAGTTAGTAAATGCTTGGTGTTGAGGTGTACATATCTCCAATCTCTGCCAGTTTTAAGGTGTCCCAAACCAGTTATCAACCATTGCATGATTGCCTTGGCCATCATCCTGACCCTTGACATGGCTTCCCATCATCTGACGAGTGGTGTTTTTCTGGATGGGAGGCATCGTCTCAGGTACTCGCAAAAAAGCTGCAGTTGAGAAAGAATACATTGGAGGTCAACTGAACTTTCCTGCGGTCAAGAAAGGTCATGTCGCAAGACGCACAGAAAAGAATCAAAGTGGTGGGATGATAGAATGAATGAGCAACAGAACAGTGTTTTGAATACCATCTGGTTATTTAACATAGCCATGGAAAATCATCATTTTTAATAGGTAAACCATCTATAAATGGGCCATTTTCCATGGCTATGTTAGATAACCAGAGGGTATATTAAAATCATTCTCCAGGCGGGGCCATTGAAGGTATGCCAAGCGCTGCAGAGGGTTTGTTTTGTAATTAGTATTGTAGAGTATCTTCCCCATTAAAGCAGGCCACTGACATTGATACCCCCATTAAATCCCATGAAGTCCCCATTCATCCACCATTTTGGTTGGTTACATCCCATTAGATATCCCCATTCCCCATCATCTCCCCATTCTATCTCCATTTTCCCCAGTTCAATCCTCGCCGGTCGCCGGTCGCCAGCAAAATTTGGGAAACCGATTGAAAAAAGATCGGTTTGGACCTTGGATCCTGATGGTCGCCATGGGGTCCAACCAAAAAAGTATCGATTCACCATTCAAGTCGAATGTAACAGATAGATCCATATCGAGTATAGATTCACTGTATAGATATAGAATGATATATATATATATATTCAAGTTTAAGTTATTCAAGCTGATTCACAATATAATATCTATGTCATATCTATGTTATCCATACAGTACAGTCTATACATGTCTATACAACATAATGAACATGATGTATATATAATATACTTATTTAATTGTTCATGTGATATATCCATAGGATGATGTTTCCATTCCAGAATTGAACACTTGGTTTCACCTGTCTGCAACTTTTGGCGATGACCAAGGCAGAGCGTCCTGGTTGAATGTCTTATTGATGTGACGGCGACGATACAAAACGTTTGGAAACTCAGTGGCGGAGTGTTTGGACTAGGACGGGAAACCAAGACGGAGGTTTTGCGAAGTATTCCCAAAGCAGTTCTTGCATCTTTTGATTGTTTTTGAGTCCCGAATATTGGACTTTCTTATTCATGAATATTCATATATCTAGGCACCCAACTGCATAAGGAAACATATTGAAACAGGTCGTGACCTGGTAGCACAGCCCACGAGTTCAGGTTTGCTTCCATACCCAGGTGGCAGTCTTGGGGGTGACCATCAAGGGTGAGATTGACACCTGTAAAGCTACAGGCGTGGCCGGGCCGGTGAGGCCGGCATTGATATTTTGATACATTTTAGTTGATTTTGCCTTATGATTCTGGATGTTTCTGTGCATGGTCCATGGTCCGAAACAAATTCCTTTTGGGGTCCGACGGTCCTAATTTGGGTTTGCACCACACTTAGGGCGCAGAGGGATGCCTGGCACAGAAATGACCATACTTCTTGTCCTCCAACTAAGTCGTTGGAAAGGTTTGAGACCCGAAGCTCTGGTTTGCTAATTTTAAAGATTTCAAAGGATGTTGCGGAACATGGATATGCCTTCAGATGTGGAGCTACCATCCAACAACAGCCTTGAGAGATTTTACGACCGCAGCTCCGGTCCTTCCAATTTGTTGCCTTTTTCAGGTTCGAGCCCAATGATGACCCGCCTGGATAAGCTTGCGGCCTGGCGTAAGCATGCTTGGCGAGTCAAAATTCCAGGTGACTTCCTGAAAGGACTTATCAGTTGGACTGGTTGAAAGCATGGTCTAGAGGTTTGCGAGTCAAAACTTGAATTCGGAATGATTTAAGGAATGATTTGGACAGGTTGAGGCGGAAACACCTTGACTCAAAGACGGCTGGGGAGGGACCAACTGAAGAATCCACTTCCTCTATGTTCCAGTTCAATTCCAACCACAATCAGGGATTGCCCACTTAGGATCTTTCGTGTAATCGCTTTTGGATGCTTTTGGTCTTGTAGAACTTCTTGTCCTTTTGATTTCGATTGGTTCTCGTTATTATTCGTTCCGAAATCTATGCCTTGCGCTGTTTGCAAACAGTTTCAGCATGTTTTAAATCTGCCTCTTTTATCCTCTTTTGGCAAGTTCCTGTGTCCGCTGGTGCGCTAACAATCACCTGCCATGTCACTTTCCCACAAGCCCCTGGTGCTATCTCAGAATTCAGGAACCAGGGGGCCAAGCCATAGATGGTTGGGAGGAAACGGACATTGCAAAGCTTGCGTGTTTCCTCAACAGTGCCTGGGCATGGTCGACCACATGAACATAGTAACTATCATAGTTCCCCACTGAGCCTCTTTAGGTGCAGACTCATCCCGTGACCCAACATAAACATGCAAGAATGATTAAGAAATATTAAGAATGGGCTGAGCTTATTTGGCGTGACCGTAGGACCCCTTCCATGTGTATTCCGATGAAACTTGCAGGCAAAACGAGTTTCAAGTTTCAACATTTCCGAGACATGGTATGAACGGTATGAACAGTATAAGTATGAAGCGATAGTATTTCTGAATCAACTTCTGACACATGAAACTGAACATGGCTCCACTGGTGCCAAGCCAAAAAGCCTTGAGTCATCTTGAGTCGCTTGAAGCCTGCAGTGTGATGGTTGCGAGGTGACGGATTGGTGTTTGTCTTGTCCAACTTGGCCACAGCCGTCGGATTCGCTGCAGGCTTTGGAGATTGTAATGACATGATGTCCACTCTTGGCTATGTTGAGAAAAGAATGCCAGATAGATGTAGGCATGTGAAGACCCATTCCGTTTTCCGGGCGATTCTACACTGCAAATTACAACCATTTCAATTTCTGAACTGTGGAAGTGATTGGAGTGATTGAGTTGTTAGTACTGTTAGACGCTTCATGGCTTGCATAGTGATGAGATGTGATGAGCCTAGGCAACTGCGCATATACCATTGAATTGCCGGACGCCGCTTTTCAGCCGGTGTACACAGTGCCTTGGCATTCGGGGACATGGAAAAACAATGGACGCCCTTGGGCGATCAGACATGATTACCATTGATTACCTAAATTTCCTGAAGTCCTGTGTTCAAGTGGTGTGCAAACGCTTGGAGGGCCTTCCGTTGGACAGAGTCATCCAGCAATCTAGCATCATGGCATATATAGCATGCCAGTAGTCATCAGATCTTTGAAGCAGCTAACAAACATTCTTAACAACATCTAACAACATGCCATCTTCGTTCGTTGCCCGAACTTCCAATCTCGCGATCTCAGCACAACAATAGCGTCTACTTCGACCGTCTCTGCGCCGCGAACATCGCCTCCACTGTGAACGTTGGATGCCCAGGGAGATGTCAAAGGGGGGACCGATGGGGACCGGGTGGATGATGGAGCTGAGTCCTGCTACTCTAGAGGAAGTCTCATGACCGCAATGTCAGGCTTAGAGACTTGCCTTAGACACAGCGCTAGGGCCGCTAGGGCGCTAGGGTCTCGTTTTGGTTTTGTGCCTGGAAATCTATGGGCACCCTCTCTCTTCCAACGTGAATCTATCGCTGTCCAACTGGAATGAGTGCTGAAACATCTCCAACTTCAAAGTTGAGTAGCCAAACCCCAGACGGTGTCAACCAAGGATAAAGAACTTAAAGCATAGGTTTATGCATTCTTGATACCGTTTGTATGAATTCATAGTTGCTATTGTCACCTTTTGGGGGCGTCTCCCGTCAATGGAGCACCGAGGTGGTGTCACAGTTTGCTGCTGCTGGGGCTATGGCTGGAACGTTGGATCACTCAGTGCCCGTTCAGGAAGTCATTGAGACCCGCCAAGAGTTTCCAGCCCAACGGATTTCAGCCACTTTGATCGTCAGGTCGTGTCCAAATGCAAACAGTCCTGTGTGGGAGACCCCAGCAGTTGATGTGGATTGCGCTAGGACAAGAAGATTTGGACGTAGGTGAAAACCTGTGAAGACCTGTACTGTATGTTGCCTCTTCTGCCAAGCTGTTGATACTCAAGATTGAATTGCAGCCATCAAACGGAAGCTTCTGCATCCTTCTGGCAGCTTTCTGGTCGTAAACTCTTTCAGCATTGGCGCTTTTACGTATGGACAAAAGTTTGTAGCAGGTAATCCATACCAAGGTCAGCTCCGGCGAGCACATTTGGCACTGGTGCTAACGACGAGTTTGTGGATGGCTTCACGGAGCCCGGTGGTGGGGCATTATACTGGAGGGTTCTAGTACAGGGCCCTCTTGCCCGTAGCATTTGATGCTAGCAATGAGACAAGGTCAAGGTGCCAGTAGAGTATTTCTTGGTAGGCGGAGCAAAGTCAACGTGATCAATCTCTGTGAAGCAGCCGCAGCCGAGATTCATTGCTTGCTGTTTATTGCTGTTTAGTTAGTGTTTGATTTTATACATTTGCTCAAAATGCAAAAGTTGGTAAAGCAAGTTTCGGAGCCGTGTCCATCAGCTGATAGCGATTCAGCCCCAGTTCTAAAGGATGCCTATGATGCTGGTGGAATCCGACGCCTGAGTGCAGAGCAACGCAAATTGCTTGGTTCTGCCGGAGGGGGTCAACCCGCATTAGGAACTGGCGAAACAGGCGCGGCTCCGTGGAGACCTGGTAGCGTCGCGCCTTGCTATGGCAGCTATGGTCAAGCCATCAACTTTTTCAGCTTTTGATCCTGTCTCTGCGTCTCTGCGTCTCTGGCCTTGCCGGAGAATTTCCATCTGAACATGACATGTGGGTGGCAGGTAATGCACTTGCATGCTTGCTGGCTGCAGAGGGAGCTTCTCAGCTTTGTTTAGTCCAACGTTGGTAGGCTCTCCTTGGGCTTATCCTTGTGCTTTTGCTGATTTCCCTTGTGGGTAAGCACCAGCCAAGTTTTTCCGGGTGTTTGTTGGGCCAAGATCTTGCAGATTGTTCTGGAAGATAGCAGAATCAACAAAGCAGCAAGAAAACATGAACATCTCACTCTCGCCATGCTGCCTTTCCATGTATCAATGACAAATCTATAGCCTCTTGTCGCATGTAAATCGAAACGTTTTCTGAAGGATACTAAATAGCCACGCTTGCTTCCCTTCTTAAATTCTTTTATCATACCCCATAGGCTCTTCTTTAAACATCGAATTTAGATGAATTTAGCATTGTTTGTTTTGACGAAGCTTGCTCAGGTTCTTTTTAGCATCATGCAGATTGGTGTCGAGCTGGACCACGCTTTCAGGCTCAACTGCAAAACCGGCTACTCGACGATTGAGGATTATTAAGATTTCCTAGGGCAGAAATCCTTCCCACGGAGCTTCAAGTTTAAAAGCGCTGATGCCTTGGGGTTGACAGACTGCACTGCAGTCACCGTACAGACATTTGTTTCTTGCATTGAGATTGCGGTTGCAAGGCATATGTGTGGAATGTTGAACCAAAATGTCCACCGGACATTTTGGCTCAAGCATAACCCAGGTGTGTCACCTGGACAGATTTTGAAAAAGGTTACGTTTGTGTATTTCCTTTCGCCCGTTCTTCGAACATGTCGTGTCCGTCGGGCGACGAGTGGGAGATGATCTCCAATGCTCTGATCAAGGATCAGGACGAAGCAGCCGACCTCCTTGCGCGACCTCCGGGAGAGGAAGTGTGAGCTGAACTCCAAGCAAAAATGACTGCCTTGCAAGACACCATCAACAGACTGTCCATGCTGGGGATCCGTGGCGCGACAATGACACAGGATGATGCGATGGAGATTGAAGGAGAACCAGTGGCGGACCCAATGGAGACGGGGGATATACTCCTCGAGCTGGCATTGGCATGAAGGCAGATGTGTGCGGAGGCCACCCGGAAGCTGGACAGGTGCCGCAGGCCCTGAAGGCGGAAGGTGCCGGATTCGTGCGCCCAGAGGTTCAACCTCTGATCCACCAGCCAGTTCGCTGGCGATTGGATCCCGAGAACCATGCATTTGGCAAACTTGTTGCTTTCCCGGACTCTTTTCCCAGTGTGCCAAATTATTTGGTCAACATGTTGCAGTCATGCACGGAAACGGGGCTAGTGGACTTGTTTTCTCAGTTCATGCACCACCCGCTGTCTGAGGCAGTTGTGCGGAGGATCCTGGAAACATACATGCCGATGAAAGCACCATGTCAACAAGAAGCCATCTGGACCATGCGTGCGCAGAAGGGCAAGTCCACAGCGGGATACAGCGGGCCTCGGATCAGCTGACCTCAGAGCCCGACCACTGGGCCAACAGCCCTACACCCACATGTGCAGCTCCTGTACGTCAGGCTGGCCAGAGCGGGCCACTTCCTGTTTCCTGTGCCAGAAGAGTGCCATTTGTTCCACATACGGCGTCCTACACTATGGATGATGTGGTGTGGTGTGGTCCTTGGTCCCGGTGGATGGCAAGCCTACCTGGGTGCAGTCCTCCATGCAGCCCAGTGAAGGGCGCCGCTGGCCCCGCAAGCTCGACTGGATTGGCTCGGGAGGTCGCCCACTCCTTTGATGCCACGCAGATGGCACAACCTACTGGGGCTACTTCATCCTTGGACGAGGTGACCATGGCGGATGCAGTCCCATTGGCGCTCCGGATGAGCATGCGAGAAGAGGTCCTGGAACAGATTGTGGATGAGGACGCCAAGGAAGCGGCCACCCTGATCAAAGAGCAGAAAAAGAATTTGGCGGCGAAGCGATCCCAGGGATTCCAAGTCTTCTATCCGGAAGCGGCCAAGGCCTTGGACCTTCAGCACAAAGCGATCCAGCACACCCATCTTATCCACCAGGAGGCGGAAATGGACGAGGAGACCAAGCGTCAGACAACCGAGATGGGGGAAGGCACGGTGGCCCTCAACCGCTTGGATGAGATCTGAGGATGCCAAGAAGCTAGCGATGCTGACCTGGGCCATGAAGTACCACAAGCAGGGGAGCAGAGAATGCATGCGGGTTGTTGGCGCAAGACCAGAGATGGACCCCCCAGACTTGGCGCTCAAGATCAAGCTCAACCCGGACCAACTGCAGGCCCTGGAGCGCCGTACCCATGTGGACACCCTCATCGTGGACCCAGTCCTCTTCACCCAGGAGGAAGTGCGGGCATGTTTAGGCATGTGTTACCTTCGAGCTATTCTTTGCCTGTCAGGTATTTGCAAGGCATGTTTATTCCGAGCAACTCGCTGCCTGTCAGGTGTTTGCAAGGCATGTTTACGCATGTCTTACTTTGGAGCAATTCACTGCCTGTCAGGTATTCGCAAGGCATGTTTAAGCCTGTCTTATCTTGGACCAATTTGCTGCCTGTCAGGTACCTGTAAGCCATGTTTTGCCGTGTTTTACTCTTGTGCAATTCACTGCCTGACAGGTATCTGCCCGGCATGTTTAAGCATGTCTTACTTTGGAGCAATTTGCTGCCTGTCAGGTACCTGCAAGCCATGTTTAGACGTGTTTTACTCTCGTGCAATCCACTGCCTGACAGGTATCTGCCCGGCATGATTAAGCATGTCTTACTTTGGAGCAATTTGCTGCCTGTCAGGTACCTGCAAGCCATGTTTAGACGTGTTTTACTCTCGTGCAACTCACTGCCTGACAGGTATCTGCCCGGCATGATTAAGCATGTCTTACTTTGGAGCAATTTACTGCCTGTCAGGTATTCGCAAGGCATGTTTAAGCCTGTCTTATCTTGGACCAATTTGCTGCCTGTCAGGTACCTGTAAGCCATGTTTTGACGTGTTTTACTCTTGTGCAATTCACTGCCTGACAGGTATCTGCCCGGCATGTTTAAGCATGTCTTACTTTGGAGCAATTTGCTGCCTGTCAGGTACCTGCAAGCCATGTTTTGACGTGTGTTACTCTCGTGCAATTCACTAGCCTGGCAGGTATCTGCCCGGCATGTTTTAGCATGTCTTACTTTGAAGCAATTTTAAGCATGTCTTACTTTGGACCTGGGATATTGCCCTTTTTCTCGGTGTCGTTTCTTGGGATTTGACTCCAGGACTGGACTGACCGTGGACACCATGCACTTGCGTTTCATTGATGTTCACTCACACTGTGTGATGATGCACACCGTTCATGTTAACGGTATGATGTGCTGATACTAGGGGGTTTCTTTGACACACTTCAGTTTGGCACCTTGTGATGTCTTTTTCGGTTTTCATTTACTGCGAGCCTACACAAGGGAGCTCATTGCTCAGACAGGGTTAGAAGATGCCGGCATGCCCACAGGGCACTGCACCTCCCTGGCTTCTGACATTCATCAACCGGCATGTTGCACACCCATGAGCATGTTGCTTTTCTTTCCCCACCTGATCCCTGCCCGGCTCAAGTGACTCACTCCCCTTTCTCCCGGGCTCAAGTCCCTCCATGTAGCACAATGGAGCTGTCCCGAGTAAGTGTGGCATTCCAGCTTAGACCCCCCTACACTCGGGGCTGGGACACACTGGGAAGACACCTCTATGATACCTTGGTGGATGAGGGCTTTTCCCCTCGGCAATCAGAAGGCGAACTCCTGGCGGTCTTCTGCCTCCGCAGACGGTACCTGCCAGAGAACTCCAGAAGGTTCACTTGCCCCTTGGAAACTGCAAAGCTTGCAATGGTTCATTAGCATTTTCCAAAGGCATTCGACGTGCTGAAGTTGCTCACAGCCGTGGTCCCACTTTTGAACAAGAGCTGACCCCTGGAATGATTGTTTACTACTACCGCCACACCAAGCACAACAACAAGGCCAGCCAATCCAAACGAAAGCTCCGTTTGAAAAGATGGCATGGACCTGGTTTGCTTGTTGCGATGGAAGGTGACCTGAATGCCTTCATCAGCCATCAAGGTCAACTCAGAAGCGCCTAGCACACCTGCTTCAGCGCCTGTCCAGCCAACCGGTTTGGATCAAGTGGTTGCTGCTCAGCCACTTACCGTGTGGAGATAGCCAATGCCTTGCAGCCTGCCAATCGAGCCAAGCAGACATGTCCCGCCGGACAAGGTTGTTGAGTGGCACTCCCGTTCAGCGTGGCACGCCTGCACCAGGAACACCTATTGGAGAGCTGATGCGTGGCGCTGCGATGTCTTCAAGAGTGGCTGACACTGTTAGAAGACTTGTAGAAGCTGAACACGAGAATGTTGGATTCCCAGAGACGTTCGAAGCTTCACGAAAGAGGCCTCCTGATGTTCAAGTTGAAGAACTACAAGGTGATCAGCCTGCGTTTGAGGCAAGATCTAGACCTGGTCCTGCCGCCTCTGAAGCTGCGGCTCCCCGCCTACTGGCGCCGCATGCCCACAAGGTGGGGGAAGAGCTGCTGACCAATGGCAATGGCCAAAGCCGCAACAACAATGGATCCTCCTGAGCGCAAAGCACACAGCAGGGTCAAGCTCCTTCCGGAGGACTGGCGATTCCAAGTTGCGAAGTTAGAAGGAGAATGGTGGATCAACAAAGTGGGTACCTACGGCATGGCAAGTGCACAACTGTACTGGGGGAGAACAGCGGCTCTCATCCTGAGACTCCTCTACAACATTTTCCCTCAGGTCGACTGGGGTTTTGTGTTTGTGGATGACTTTTGCTGGCTTCTACGTGCTGAAGATGCGGACCACGTGGCCACGGCCATGCTTGCCACCTTGATGGCTTTGGGAGTCCCTTTGATCTGGCAAAAGTCCCATTTGGCAGAGGTCAACACATGGTTGGGATTTGTCATCCACCCAAACATTCCTCAGGTCCAGATGATCGCCACGAAACACACCCTGGTCCTTGAAGTCTTGGAGCTTTTGATCCAGAATACGGCAATGACGACAAAGTCCATTGAAAGCCTTGGCAGACTACAATGGGCCATAGCAGTGTGCCCGCTGACCAAGAGCCTTTTGCAACCATCCTGGGCTTGGAAGATGGGACTCCTTGCTTTGTTGATGAAGGAGCTCTTCACCATCCCATACCAACAACTCTCCCCTTACTTGCCGAAATTCCAATGGTGGGGATGCAGCGATGCGAGTGCTGCAGCTACAGGGGAGGCATACATGGGAGGATGGCTGTCAGATTCTCAGTCGCCTGGCAAGACCCCATATTGGAGGTCCCCACTCTTGGAAAGACAGTACCCTCAGACAAGACCTCACACCGATCAGACCCCAGAGGCACACACCCGAGTGAGCAAGGCTCTCCCAGCACCAGTGGAACACCAAGGAAGGCACCGTCAAGTCACTCACCGCCCAACACTCAGGATACACACAGCAGGGACCACGTCATACAGGTGCCGCTGGCCCTGAGTGCGACAGGTTCACCCAGTGTACCCAAGATCCCCCAGCCGGGGATGAAAAGATCACCACCAGCTTCACCAGAGAAACACAGAGCAAGCAAAGGCCTTCGTGCCCTTTCCTTTCCTTGGCTCTCTAAGACCTTTGGCCTCCTGAACCTGGATGAGGAACACCGACTGAAGGCAAAGAAGCAGGCACGGGAGGAATCCCTGGCGGATACCGCCACCAAACCACAGCGGAAGGCAGTTGTTCCCAGCAAAGAAGTGGTATGGGCCCTGGAAGAAGGGGCCTCCTCCCTGTCGACGGCGGGGATTATAAGGCCAGAGGGTACGATGGTGCCAGGAGTGGAACCACACAAAGTGATGGACTCCTACATCTTGGGCCTGGCACGCTTCCAACTAGGCTGCAGTGCTCGCTTCAATGACCTCCAGCATGTGCACCCCAGGGAGATCCACTGCACCACGGAGACTGTTGAATTGCAGGCATGGCAAACAAAGACAGTTTCGGCAGCGAAGATACGACGCCACCCAGTCCCACTCATCTGCCCCAAGTACAGCTTCTCTGGAAAGGACTGGTGGTCAGGTTTGGTAGCCCTGATACGCAAGCTGACCCAGGAGGAACGGTTCAAAGATATGGACTTCCTGATACCCACAGTCAGCAAAGGCTTCAATGGTGTCATTTGCCGCCCCAGCACTCCGGACCGAGGTCTGAGATGGCTGAAAGAAGCACTCTTCCGGCAAGGCGTCAACAGGGAGCTGATTGACCCACTCACCTGGCACTCATTCAGGGTATTCATCCCGGACTGCGCCTTCCAGCTTGGTGTGCCACGCACCCAGCGCCAGTACCTGGGCAACTGGCTCACAGAATCTACGGCAGACGTCTACACCAGGGAGAAACGCAACGTGGTAGTATCCATTTGGCAGCGGGTAGCCTCCAAAGTGGACACACTCAACATGAAGCCAGGCCGTGAGCGCAGAGAAGACCTCAACCATCCCGATTGGGATGAACCCATCCTTGACCTGGAAGAAGAACCACAAGAAGGACGGGTACCAGTGGACACCCCAGTACGGACACCGGGCAGTAGCATCTGGAGTGCAATCTCCAATGACCGGGATTCCCCGGCCCCGAAGGTCCTATTCACGGAACCTGCACCAGGATCACTGAGAGTGGTATCCTCACGGACCAGAACTACGGCATCAGGCCAATACCGGATCCACCTGCTCAACGGAGAAGGCACGGCCGTTGGAAAGTGGCAGTGTGGAAGACCTTTCCCCGGATGACTTCCGGAATGAAATGGGGCTCTATGGCAAGTGCACCCGGTGCTTCAAGTCCCATGATCTCCCACTGGAGTACCAACAAGGCCCTGCCCAAGTGAATGATGCCCCAGTGGACTCTGACTCCTCCAATGAGTCAGGATCAGACACAGATGACTCAGTGGACACAGAGTCGGACAATGAACACATTGAGCTCCCTTTATCCAGGGTCCCCTGACGGATTGGAAAGGTGCCGCTGGCCCTGTTGAAGATCCCGATGGACACCCGGCATCCTACGGAAATGGCGTGTTGTGCCAGGTCGTCCTCCGGAAATGGCGGAAATCATCGACCTGGCACACCTGGTTGATTGGATTTTGACACTGTACAGGAACAGTACACTGATCCCAATCGAAGGGAACCAGGACAAACTGGCACCAACCCCTGCACCGGAAAATAAGGGCTGTGAGTTGGTGCCTTTGCTGCTCTCCTCACTTGGATCATTTTTCACACTTACATACATTTGTTTCTTGCATTGAGCTTGCGGTTGCAAGGCATATGTGTGGAATGTTGAACCAAAATGTCCACCGGACATTTTGGCTCAAGCATAACCCAGGTGTGTCACCTGGACAGATTTTGAAAACCCACCACACCCACCCTTTGCTGGCACTACTGTGATCACTAAGGGACTAAGGTATGGCTGCACCACCGCCAGCCACGCCACCTGAGGCCATACCTCCAGATCAGCAAGAAGACGTGGAAAGACTCTCCAAGGGCCTTTCAGTGCTTCTCCAAGCAGATCCCATGGCGGATTCAAGGAGAGCTGGCAAGACAGGGCTACACCACAGTTGAGGATCTTGCTGACAGATGGGACAGCCCAGAGGAAGCACGTAACCATGGACCCAGGGAACTTGACTTCACAGAGGGCAACCATGGCTTCACGGCACAATCAACGGCATTCACTGCAATGAGACTCCTCCAAGCGGTCAGGGCCGCAAGGATGTTGGCCACGATCCCGGGGACAGCCCACACTCAAGGAGCACTGCCCCGAAGCACCACACCGGGAGGATCACCCCTGGAAATCTCACTGGACAGACGCACCCTTGAGGAGACGTACATGAAGACCTACAAGGTGAGTAGACCCCGGCTTGAATCACAAGGCAGTGATGCACTCCTCAAGCGACAACACCGGTTCCTTGCAAGAGGAGAGATTGGATTCATCCCAGTGAAGCACCTGATCAGTGCTCTCCCTGAGGAAGGGGAACGCCCCACAAAGACTTCCAAACGTTTCACCCTGGATGGTTGGGAAGGCCACGAAGAAGAGGAAGTCAGATCAAACCCAACCACCCGGAGACAACTTGAGAGGATGCACATGGTCTTCCGCACGACCTTGTTGATGTGCACTGCCTCCGCCCCACAGTTTGCGAACCTGTGCATTACCAAGGAAGAGCTGGACTCATGGTATGAGTGGTTCTATGGGGAGGACATTGCAGGTCGCTCTCCCCCACCGTCGGAGGCAATCCTGCTCTATGCAGAGAGGAATGCATGGAGGAAGATCCATGACATGGTCCATGGTGGCACGACCCTGAGTGAAGCACTTCGCACCATCAAATTGGACCTTTTATTTTGGACCCGTGAAGTTTATGAAAGGGTCAACAAACAGACGGTCAAGACCATCCAAACCAAGGGGAAGGGTAAGACCAAGGTAACCACCCGGCAGGCAACCGCACCTTGGCAGCCTCAGTGGATGAAACCACGAAAAGGGGAACCCAAAGGCAAGGGCACCACCAAAGGAACTCCTGGGGGAAAGGGCAAGACCACCAAGGGAAAGTCAAAGACCCCGGGTAAGCCCGATTGGCCGTCACACTGGGCCATCAAGAACCCCAAAAATGTGCCATATTGCAGGGACTTCCATTTGTATAAGTCCTGCACGGGCCAGTGTGGCCGTTCCCACAATTGTCCAGTCCGAGTTGATGGATGGACATGTGATGCAGCGCCAGGAACTCACAGCACGAGTGAGTGTCCACACGCCCCCAAGTGACAGGAGGCCCAAACAGGTGCCACTGGCCCTGAGCAAGCCTCCTCAACACCGAGGGCTGCATCAAGATTCCCCTCCCCGGGGAAGGACCTCACCGGTCCATACGACAACCCACGTCACGGCACCACGGACCCTGGGGTACACCCTCAGGCGGCACCACGAAAGAGTGAAAGACCACTCTCCCCGGTGGGAACCACACCCAGTCACGGAATCCCGGACCCTGGGGTACATTTGCAGGTGGCACCACAAAAGAGTGAAAGACCACTCTCCCGGGTTCCCGGACCCTGGAGTACACCCCCAGGTGGCACCACACCACGTCACAGCATCCCGGACCCTGGGGTACACCCTCAGGCGGCACCACGAAAGCCCAAATTGCAGGACATGGAGTATCCTGCGCTGGTTCCCCAAACCAGGTGCCCCAAAGCCAGTCAGAGGACGATCAGAGGAACAGGTATGGGGCCTCCCCGGCCTTACACCCAGAGATCAGGAAGATGTGGATAATGACAGCACTCTCCTGCTTCGACAAATGTGCCTCACGTCACTGGCATACCAAGGAGTGGCATCACAGACAATCCCGCACTGCCCAGGATCGTTCCTTGAACACCCCTCTGACCCCAAGGAGACAAGCAAGAGTCCCAATGCCCACAGATGCTCGACCATCTGGAACACCAAGGCATACCAACACTGGGCAAAGACCTTGAGACACCGGCAGGTCAAGTTCGACCAGTGTCAACTAGGACAACTGGTAGCCAAGTCCACCACCCTGTCAACAGACTGGACTGGCATGATTTGTGATCACCCCGGACACCCGAAGCTGGCGGACATTGCCAGCAGTGACCTGAGCAGATACCCCTGGAAGATGATGAAAGGGCTGGCACAAGCCATTGCCATCAGGGCCAGGCCGATTTTACAGAACCCGACACCAGGCCTGCAGGTCACAATCCAGTTTGAGCTCGGCCAGCACCAGCCGATGAAAAGGGGGAGATTCCCCTTCACCGACACGGTCGATGTACACTTCCCAGAGTTCACCGGCAGGGATGACACCAGAGCACACCACATCGGCAACCCGATCCAACCCTGCCACACAGGAGCCGCCGGCCCTGAGTGGAAAAGGATCACTGGAGACACCCAGTCATAGATCCCAAGGATCTAAACGTTCACCTTCCAGATCACCGGCACAGCACCGTGCAAGCAAAGGCCTCAAGGCCCTTTCCTTGCTTAGCTCAGGAACCCACACTAAGGCAGACAACAACTACCAACAAACACCAAGCACCACTTCGACTGAGGAATCTACATCGTTGTGGACCCCTATCTCGATGGAACAGCTCATGCGCACTTCTGACAGGCCCCTCGTGGAGCCCCTGGCCAATGACATCCACCTCTTCGATGACATCGTTATGCTCCATGTGGCCTTCAAATCCAGACCACTACGTGATGGGGGAGGCAAACCATCACCAGGCCGATTGGCCCCGCCGCGCCGAGCACCATCCAGCCTAGGCAGACTAGGCAAACAGATCATGTCGCTGGTTCTCCCAATGGTTCCACAGACCATCTGGTCGGCACAATGTGGAGAGAAACAACACCCATTCCCGGAGGAGCTCCTGAACACCATCCGCACCACCCTGGGCCCACCACCAAATGCCCAACCACCACCAGGCCAACCACTCTTCCTCGAACTGATCCAGGACTTGGCCATCCGTTCAGGGGATCCAGACTGTGCATTCCCAACAGACCTAAGCCAAGGAGTTCCACTAGGAGTCACGACTCCACCACTGCACTCGCCTGGCATTTGGCCACTGAAGTCCGAACTGAAAGGAATGGAGTTTGTTCAACAAGAGTTGGAGCAACCTACGGGGCTTGACAACTACTCATCCGTCAAGGACTTCGCCCCTCAGGTCAGAGCTACCTTTGTAGAGGAAGTCCAACTTGGCATGGTGGAAGGCCCACTCACGAAACAACAGGCAGCCCTACGATGCAGTTGCAGAGAAGAAGACCTCTGCCCGGGCCCCCTTGCAGCCATTGACGAAGGGGACAAGATACGCACCATCTAAGACGGATCAGCTGGTGGGGCCAACAATAACATCCAGAACCAGACAATGGAGAGGACCACAGCCCCCACGGTCCTGGATTGTGTCCAAGCACTCCACTGACTACAAGAGGCAAGCAACTCACAACCACCCACTGTCCCTCACCTGCGGGACGAACCCACTGAAGCACAGCACTGGCAATGGCCAAAACCCAAACAAAAATGGTTTCTACTCAAGGCTGACGTGACCAAGGCACACACACGGGTCAAAGTCCTCCAGCGAGATTGGAGATTCCAAGTAGCAGAGCTGGAAGGAGAATGGTGGATCAACAAGGTAGGCACTTACGGCATGGCAAGTGCTCAACTATATTGGGGCAGAACAGCAGCTCTCATTTTGAGACTGCTGTACAACCTCTTTCCCCAGGTCGACTGGGGATTTGTCTTTGTTGATGACTTCTGCTGGCTTCTACGTGCAGAGAATGCAGGCCACCAAGCCACAGCAATCCTTGCCACTCTGGTTGCGCTTGGAGTACCTCTGAGTTGGAAGAAGACCCACCTGGCAGAGGTCAACGCTTGGTTGGGCTTTGTTATACACCCAACATTCCACAAGTTCAGATGATCTCGACAAAACACATTCTTGCCTTGGAAGTCCTTGAGCTCCTTATCCAGAACACAGTGATGACAACCAAAGCTATTGAGAAGGCTTTGGGACGCTTACAATGGGCAACAGCAGTCTGCCCAATGACCAAAAGTCTCCTACAACCATTCTGGGCTTGGAAGATGGCAGTAACCTCCTCAGGGAGACCACCCAAGACTGTCCGCCTATTGGCACTTTTGTTAAAGGAGCTCTTCACCATCCCCTATCGGCAACTCTCGCCCTACCTACCAAAGTCTTCCTGGTGGGGCTGTAGTGATGCGAGTGCGGATTCCACAGGTGAAGCATACATTGGTGGATGGTTGTCAGATGCTCAGTCACCTGCCCGTGACTCAGTCCACTGGTTTCATTTTAAAGTATCCCCAGAAATGTTCCCTTGGGCATTCAAGGAGGGAAACCCCCAGAAGAGAATTGCAGCACTGGAGCTGCTGGGCACCTTGGTACTCACCCACTGTATTCTGCAAAAGCAGGGCAAGACTGCCGCTGCAGTGAGAATCCCCGTCGGAAGTGATAACCAAGGAAACGTTTTTGCGTTACTCAATTTTGCATCAAAGAAGCCACACACTGCAGCCATTTTGATGGAACTCGTTTTGCATCTTCATGTCGCTGGCTGCTCGTTAGCACCCTGTCATGTTCCTCGGGAACTCAATCAATGGGCGGACGATCTCACGCACCCGCTCTATGGTGGCTTCTCATCAGAGCTCTATCTCGATGTGAGTGATCTTTTTGTACAGCTTAAACTTTTGCCGAGACTCACCTCTCAATTGGATATAGATTTTTCCCAGTTTCCCCACCCATAATCCTGTGACCGGATTTGGTGGGTTGTCCTGTTCCCTTTCACCCTCTCCCACCCCACAGATGTGACCAGTCGATTTGTGAATGGCGGAAATCATCGACCTGGCACACCTGGTTGATTGGATTTTGACACTGTACAGGAACAGTACACTGATCCCAATCGAAGGGAACCAGGACAAACTGGCACCAACCCCTGCACTGGAAAATAAGGGCTGTGAGTTGGTGCCTTTGCTGCTCTCTTGACTTGGATCATTTTTTCACACTTACATACATTTGTTGAAGTTGAGAGGACTCCAGAGATATGTTGGGGAAGCTCCAGGGAAAGTCGCTCCAACTTGCAATCAGGTGCGGGGAAGCAGTCATTTGATTACATTTGCTGAAACGTCAATGTCATAAAGTAAGAACACAGTAAAGTTATCAAAGGGCTCACGCCCCCTGCCGCCGACCCCAGATTCTATTATTATACAGATAGTGTTTGCGCCGCACAGGTGCATGGTTGCGCCGCACAGGTGCAATGTAATGCAATGAAATGGAATGCAATGCGATGTAATGCAATGTAATGCCATGCAATGCAAGGTAATGCAATGCGTAATGGAAAGCAATGAAACGTAATGCAATGCAATGCAATGCAATGAAACGTAATGCAATGCAATGTACTGCCATAGAATGCAATGTAATGCAATGCAATGCATTGCAACGAGAAGCAATGAAATGTAAGGCAATGCAAAGCATTGCAAAGCAATGAAATGTAATGCAATGCAATGTAATGCAATGTAATGCAAAGTAATGCCCTTCAATACAATGCAGCGCAATGCAATGCATTGCAATGTAACGCTCTGAAATGTAATGCAAGGCAATGTAAAACAATGTAATGCAATGCAAGGTAATGCAATGCAATGCATTGCAATGAAAAGCAATGAAATGTAATGCAATGCAATGACACGTAATGCAATGCAATGTAATGCAATGTGATGCCATGCAATGTAATGCAACGCAATGCAACGCATTGCAATGTAATGCTCTGAAATGTGATGCAATGCAATGAAATGTAATGTAATGCCATGCAATGCAATGCAATGTAATGGAATGCAATGAAATGCAATGCAATCTATATAATGCAATGGGATGCGATGCAATGAAATGCAATGTAATGTAACGCAATGCAATGCAATGTAACGTAAGGAAATGCAATGAAATGCAAGGAAATGCAATGTAATGAAATGCAATGAAATGCAATGAAATGCAATGAAATGCAATGGAATGCAATATACTGAAATGCAACGAAATGCAACGCAATGCAATGTAATGAAATGCAATGAAATGCAATGCAATGCAATTCAATGACATGCAATGCAAGGAAATGCAATGCAATGCAATGTAATGAAATGCAATGAAATTCAATGCAGTGCAATGTAATGAAATGCAATGAAATGCAATGAAATGCAATGAAATGCAATGTAATGCGATGCAATGTAAGGCAATCTAATGCAACGAAATGTACTGCAATGCAAGGCAATGCAATGCAACGTAAGGAAATGCAATGCAATGTAATGCAATGCAATGTAATGCAATGCGATGTAATGCAATGTAATGCCATGCAATGCAAGGTAATGCAATGCAGTGCATTGTAATGGAAAGCAATGAAATGTAATTGTAATGCGATGCAATGCAATGAAACGTAATGCAATGCAATGTAATGCCATAGAATGCAATGTAATGCAATGCAAGGCCATGCATTGCAATGAGAAGCAATGAAATGTAAGGCAATGCAAAGCAATGAAATGTAATGCAATGCAATGTAATGCAATGTAATGCAAAGTAATGCCCTTCAATATAATGTAACGCAATGCAATGCATTGCAATGTAACGCTTTGAAATGTAATGCAAGGCAATGCAATCAATGCAGTGCAATGCAGTGTAATGCAATGAAATGCAAAGCAATATAATGCAAGGCAATGCGATGCAATGTAATGCAATGCAATGAAGTGGGACAATGATCCACAGCTGGATAGCATTTGTCATTCTGCTACCGCAGCAAAGAACGAGTCATTGTGCCCCAACTTCGAAGTATCACAAGCGTTTTTTCCGCACCGAAGCAGTGTATACTTCTGAGATGTTCCGGTATGTATCAGATATTTCTAGAGTCAAGTTGGTGCGTTTTTGCTCACTTGCTGTCCTGCGGATCTCTCGTTGGCTCCTACGAGTTAAGATGTGGAATCAACATGAATCAATCATAGGAGCCAGGAGGTGGTCCTGCTTGGCATTCGTTTTTTTGCAACGAAGCACACGAAGCACATGCATTTTAAAGTTTCGTGACGCCCCAAACATGGGCGGGGCGCCGTTCGATTAGCAAGCCGTAGTCTTTTGGCGTAATCAAGCCATGAGTCTTGGGCGGTTCCGAAACAGCAAAACACCATGGCACTGAAGGACGGAAGCGGCGCCTAGCAAGCAGGCTCCAGTGCCTAACGTTGCCTTCTGAGCCGACAAGAAACCAGCTCCAAAGTGCAGCTCCCATGCCCTCAAAACAGCGTCACAGCGACCTCCCAGCGGGCGGTTCCGAAACAGCAACACACCATGGCACTGAAGGACGGAAGCGGCACCTAGCAAGTAGGGTTCACTGCCGAACGTTGCCTTCTGAACCGACAAGAAACCAGCTCCAAAGTGCAGCTCCCATGCCCTCAAAACAGCTCCACAGCGACCTCCCAGCGGGCGGTTCCGAAACAGCAAAACACCATGGCACTGAAGGACGGAAGCGGCGCCTAGCAAGCAGGCTCCAGTGCCTAACGTTGCCTTCTGAACCGACAAGAAACCAGCTCCAAAGTGCAGCTCCCATGCCCTCAAAACAGCTCCACAGCGACCTCCCAGCGGGCGGTTCCGAAACAGCAAAACACCATGGCACTGAAGGACGGAAGCGGCGCCTAGCAAGCAGG